TATTTCATACATAGTATTTCCTATTATATTCTTTTAGTCTACCTAGTTAAGCCTTTAAATTTCACTTTAAGGTGAAGTCTAGCATGTTGTAAAATAACTGGTGAAATATTATGTACTGTCATTATGGCAAAGACAAAAAAAATTAATGATTAGAAAAGTATTTAAACTAAAGAGGTGTTCTTCTCTTTGTTAAATGGCACAATTTTGTTTTTATAATTATGCCAACTGTACACACACACACAGACACAGCCAGCATTACAAATGTGATATTGTAATATCATTAAAACATCCTTTAAAAATTAAATGATTACAATATGCAGATTCCAAAAAATAAAAACACAACTATAAAAGTGGCTCAAAGTACATATAGAAGCATTGAAAGTGCCATCACGTATGAATTGCCATAATTCCTGCAATGAGGTTACTAAGGATATCAGTATTTCAGTGTCCAGCAGAGCGGAGGTACACAGTGGCCCCTTTAACTTTTCCCCCAGAGGCAGTCCGGAGATCCTCACTGCTGTGCTATATGCGTGATATGAGCACAGCTGTACAGACGCACCTGCACTGCTCCAGCAGGGTTCTGTGGTTGGGGATATGCCTTCGCCTTTAACATCTCGCTCCCCGTAGACACAGCGCTGTGTGACGTCCCACGCTCTATATTAAACCAGCTTTGAAGTCATCCAATTGTTGGGGATTTGTCGTTATTGTATATCCTTGCTATGCGGCCACATGCCAGATATATGACTTTTGTCATGATTTCCTATATGTTTCAGGCCATATGCGGAACACATGCTGAACTTTCTGCATGTTACAGTAAATTATGGGCTGCACTTCCGGTTTGAGAAACTTCCACAGGATCCAACCAGGTTTCTTGCGATGTGGGATTAATTTTACATACTGTATAATACCTGGTAGTGATCGGAACACGAGTTAAACATTAGACTATTCAGTTCCCGACGCTCTTTTAGAAAAGCATATCTGCGCTATAAAATGGATTCATACCTTAAACTGGTTCTGAAACAGCCTGCCCTGACTGAGAGCACACAACCACAAGTTTTAGAGGCTTTTCATTACTTTAATTTCGTCCACTGTGCACTGCACAGATGGACCAGGACTTTCTGCTTTGTGCTAGTGATGGGTTGTTCTCGAACGAGGATTGGTTGGTTGATCCCTTTATCTTTACATGCTGTCAAGTGATGAACGAACGACTCAAAAACCCAAACACTCAAAAGGTGAACTAATCATGGGTCTTTCCAGCTCAGACTGTGTGCGTTGGTTAAGCTAACATGGGACTGTCTGTGTCACAAGAACAAACCACTTAAATTTGAAGACGTATCAGAAGAGGTGAGCTGACCTAATCATAGACAAAATTGATCTTGTGGTCCAGCCTGTACACCAGCCAGTGACCTAATCACCTGCAGCCTCTCCACAATGGACGACCAGCGTTCTCCAGCCTGGCACCTAGACTGCATCTTTGCACAAGAAGCTTTGCCAGAGGAGAAATTATTGTGCCCGACTGAGCCTCGCCACTGGCTTGCTTGGTTTGGGACTTGTGGAGCTGCGCATCGATGGATATGCTCTTCAGTATTTGGACTTTCAGCAATGAAAATTAAACCACATTAAACTGAACTAAACTGAACTTTAACTTTGAAAACTGGACTGACACAGTTTCAATTTCATTTTACTGGAACTTCTATGTTGAGCTGCTTTGACTCAATCTACATTGTAAAAGCGCTGTAGAAATAAAGATGGATTGAATTGAATTGACAAAAGACCAGGTAAAAAATGTATGATTATTTTCTCTTTCTTATAGCATTCTAGTTATGACTTGTTTTAGTGTGATCGACATTTGGGCTAGTTGTAGATGAGTTTAGAAGCAGCTCATCATCAATAACATTTTAACATTCATTAGTTAATGCATTTACTAACATGAACTAATCATGAACAACACATGTACAGCATTTATCAATCATAATTGAACATTTACTAATGCATTATTAACATCCAAGTCCATGCTTGTTAACATTAGTTAATGCACCATGAGTTAACATGCACTAACAATGAACTAATGTATTTTCATTAACTAAAGTAAACTAGCATGAACAAATACGGTAGTAAATCTATTGTTCATTGTTTGTTCATGTTAGTAAATGAATTTATTAACATTAACTAATGAACCTTATTTTAAAGTGTGACCAACATTTTAATACTATTTAATAACTTTTTTTCTCTCTTTGACACTATTAATAATTTTAAAAGTAATGTAACTTGATGGCATATAAAATGTATATACCACCTACATTTTTATCTCTTTTAGATTGTGTAAAGGTGATTCTTGTGTGTGTGTGTGTGTGTAAATGAAGGAAGCGCTCAGGTCAGGAAGAAAACTGTTCTTAGCCGACAGAGCAGTCTGGTGTCGAATAAAACTCAACAGACGCGTGCAGACGTTTTGCGTTTTGTGCAGACCTTTACTTTAATTAGAATAAACTGAAACAAATCACTTCAGATATTAAGGATGCTTTACAATTAGTTCATATAAATTGTAGAAATATCTTTTAATGATAATGGTGCCAAGCTGATACTTTTTAAATTGTACCACTGCCAAAACAGTGCCTAAACTGATACCTTTTAATTGAACAACATATTAAAGATTGAAAGTATATACGAATATAAAAGGTGACAGTGGCTCAGTGGTTAGCACTGTCACCTCACAGCAAGAAGGTCGCTGGTTTGAGTCCTGGATGGATCAGTTGACATTTCTGTGTGGAGTTTGCATGTTCTCCCTCTGTTCACATGGGTTTCCAGGTGTTCCGGTTTCCCCCTCAGTCCAAAACCATGCGGTTTAGGTGAACTGAATAAACTAAATTGACCGTGTGTGTGGGAATGAGTGTATATGGATGATTACCAGTACAGAGTTGCAGCTGGAAGGACATCCGCTGTGTAAAACATATGCTGGATAATTTGGCAGTTTGAATACCCCAGATGAATAAAGGGGCTAAGCCGAAGGAAAATGAATGAATGAAAATATAAGTAAATACAAAACACAACAAGAAAACCCGAACCACCCAACCCAACCAAAATAATTTAACAGCTTCATATATATGAGCATATTTGCTGCCAAAATTGAAAACATAATCCAAGTTTCATCAATGTTTAATATACAGTAATGTTGGGAATGGCTTGTTTGGAGGTTTTTGGATTATTTGTGGTCTGCTGAAAGTCATTTTTCTAATTCTAATAAGTTATTCACTCTTAATCAATGATTAATGGCAGCTTTTTGAAAACACCTCACTCATTGTTTAACTGAAGTTACTCCTATAATTCAAGCGAAGCATCATGGGATATAGAAAAAGGTGCATAGTCCTTGTAAAACATGCACACGTGCAGAGTTTAGGTGCTGCTGCTTACCTCTCCAATAGCCTGCAGGCGTGATGGATCCCATAATGACCTGTATCTGAATACAAATGAAGCACAATTTTTCCTAATCAACAGAATGAGAAGCAGAGATCTGAGCCACACTGCGAGTTTACATCACGTCCAAATCAATACAGAATGAAATGTGGAGAATCAATTACTAGAATGCAGCCACTGAAAGATTTTGCAGGTGTCTTAAGAGAAATGTAAAATGTTAAAAGTTACCTTGAATATCGCAACATTATATTTAGAACGACATTATTGTGGATTCACTCTTTGAGACAGACGGACGGACAGACGGACGGATGGGTGGATGGATGGATGGAAAGATGTACGAAAGAGTAGATAAATAAACAGACAGATAGACAGATAGATAGACAGACAGACAGACAGACAGACAGACAGACAGATAGATAGATAGATAGATAGATAGATAGATAGATAGATAGATAGATAGATAGATAGATAGATAGATAGATAGATAGATAGATAGATAGATAGATAGATAGATAGATAGATAGATAGATATACGAAAGAGATGATGGATGGATGGATAAATGTACGAAAGAGTAGATAAATAAAGAGGAGGATGGATGGATGGATGGATCGATAGATAGATAGATATCTGAAAGAGATGGTGGATGGATGGATAAATGTACGAAAGAGTAGATAAATAAAGAGGAGGATGGATGGATGGATGGATCGATAGATAGATAGATATCTGAAAGAGATGGTGGATGGATGGATAAATGTACGAAAGAGTAGATAAATAAAGAGGTGGATTCACTCTTTGAGACAGACGGACGGACAGACGGACGGATGGGTGGATGGATGGATGGAAAGATGTACGAAAGAGTAGATAAATAAACAGACAGATAGATAGATAGATAGATAGATAGATAGATAGATAGATAGATAGATAGATAGATAGATAGATAGATAGATAGATAGATAGATAGATAGATAGATAGATAGATAGATAGATGGATGGAGGGACCGACGGACGGATGGATGTAAGAAAGAGAAGGTGGATGGATGGATGGATGAATGGATGGATGGAAGAGATGGTAGACAGACAGACGGACGGATGGACGGATGGATGGATGGATGTTACGTCAGTGTCCAGCATTTAGGATGATGCTGGTTAACTGTTCGTGTCTTTTCATCGTCACTCCATCAGCAAACGCGCGCTCGCGGGTTGTGTATGATTTAATCCTGACGTCGCCTCTCATTATACCTTGTCGACCAATCAAATGCGAGAACCGCGACGCGACGCGCCACAAGCTGAACGCACCAGCTATAACCAGCGCACGCGCTCACAGCCTTCTTTGATTCCAAAGAGAGCGTCGCGTCCAGTGTGTGACGAAGATGCCACTGAATGAGCTCATTGGTTGTGGCTCGGTCTAGACAATCGGAGGCGGGGAAACTGAAGAGTCGTTACAGCCCACTTTAAAAACCCGTCAAAACCGACTCACGGGCTCCAAGTCAATGAGAATAACGGCAGTAATTCATAGAAGACGGTCCTCACATCCCCATCCTCAAGTTTTTTGTGGTGTTATATGGTTTTTCTGAGGTAAACTACGAGGAGAGCTTCATCTGAAGGACATTTCTCAGCAATTCACCATCATATCTGACCGGTAAGACAAATAACGTTATGAATATTATGGTTTTTGTCAGTCGAATTCTTTACATCTTCACAGACGTGATACGTGTCATCGTTTTCTATATTTTTAGCTCGTTGTGACCCACATTTTAGTCTTTGTCTTGGAACAATGACATTATTATTCGTCAAACTGCACGTGTAAAAACTGTTGCCCCTGTGAGGAACACTTGGATGTATTTCTAAATATACATTTTATTTCACGTCCGTTCATTCATTGTGTGGTCTATTTGAATATCGATGTGTAAATACTTTCTGTCGCTTAGTAACAGCAGAAACTTTCTTGTCTTTTAATGGCTGTGTATCAAATCCTCGCGCGCTGCCTTGTTAGACAGCAATTGTGTGCATCCTTGGTGCGCGTGAAGATGTCGAAACTAAATCATAATCTGCTCAACTGGCTTTGACTGAGACCCAGAAATTATATCTATGTTTTAGAAGAGCCCACAAAGGCTTGTGAGAGAATGACAAATTATGAAATGTCAAGGTGTTGTAACGGTTTGCTCGTAAAGAAAAAAACGCCTCATTAAAAGGTTGATATTGTTGAGGAATTTAGTTAAACGTAACGTAGTCTGGTTTGGTTTAATCTGTGCCATGTTTTAAGACGTCTTATTCATTTTTTACAGTATTATTCATTATTTGGTGATATAACCCTGATTTTCATTCTCAATCAATGAAAAAAAGTTATTCTGATCTATTGTCATTTTCTGAGTATTAATGAACAGATTTCATGGACTTATTTAATCGAACATGCTTTTTGATTACTTATTATTCATTAAAATGGAGCCAAGAAAAAAATAAAACTTAATAAATAACATTTATTATTCTGGTCTATTGCTATTTTCTGGAACAATGCTGTATAATGACAATATTTTCATTTGATTTTATCAGACTTTTTGTTGAACTAAACAAATATTAACATTTTACACAACCATTCTAAATTCAATAAATCAAGAAAAACGAAGAATAGTCTATCCAACTGGCCTTTAAATTGTTTACTTGTTTAATTAGGGATGCTCCGATCAGGATTTTTGCTGCCAGTTTATAGTGAAGTTTTATAGTTTTTAGTCAAGTTTTATAATGCATAAAGCACACACTCTTGTTCAAACTACTTATTTAAAATAAGTTGAATCAACACAATTCTTGAGATTTCATGCATTTTTTACAGTGCACATTCCATAAGTACAATACTTAAGTGGAGATCTCTTCTTACCTAAGAGAATAAATTAAGGATGTTTTATATAATCCTCTTATAATCATTTAGATGTGAACATGTCATGGCCAGAAGCAGCGTTACAAAAAATAATAAATGAAACAAATTAAAAAATTTAATTAAAAAGTACAAACAATGCAATTTGGAAATATTACAATTAATGAAAGAAGAAGAAGGAAGAAATTCAACATGTCTCACTAAAAAAAAAAGTTTGAAGCGCATATTTGATGCATAAGAAGTTAAATGCACCTATAAATCCATTAAGTTTTCACTAAAAGGAAAAAGGGACATAAACTAGGGTTGCACGGTTTACTTCGGTAGCACTGCAATACTATGGCTCCAAAATACTGGCGGTGTCACTGTAGTTTGGAAATAGTATTGTCATTACATTTGTGCCAGAAGATAATCAATAGACCACTCTGTTTTACTTTTTTTTTAACTGTCTGCATACCGGCCATAGTTTGCTGCTGTCATGACATATCATATGGTGTGATCAATGATCTATTTATTTAATTATTTTATTATTATTGCAATAACCACAAAAGAGTCACAGTATATGCAAAAAAAGCAGAGAAAGTCTGTACAAAGAATGTGTTTTCAAAAATAAGGAAATTCTTAATTGAATTTATGTATTATGACCGATAAAACATAATATTTCTGACAATTTGCTTTATTTCGTAGATTTGAGTTATGAATTTGGACAGTATCGCAATACTACTTGGTATCGTGATACTTCAGCTGGTATAGTGTCGTGGCCTGAATTGATGGTATCGTGACAACCTGTTTTTTGAAATAAGTATATTAAAAAAATTCTTTTATTAATTATTCAAGGTAAAAAAATTTTTTAAAAAGTTTTATCTTGAGATCGGCCAGATCAGCGAGTACCGATCAAGTAATTAAATGTGATTATCGGCCGATATCAATCTCTGGCCGATCAATCGGAGCATCTCTAACATAAATCTTTTTTTTTTTCATATTACATTTTTATTATAATGTTTTTTACAAGATTATTTGTATACAAATTATAACCTCCTAGAGCCCGAGTGTCCACGTAGACAGCACATTTTAGCTCTTAAATGGCTATTTAAAATACTATGAATGTTTTATATTTGAATGTTTTGACATACAGTGTCATACTGCAACTTTTATGCAGCATATAATAAGTCCCAAACCCTATTTTTTACTGTTCATGTTTGTACTCTTTGATAGTCAAAGCAAGTTAAAAAAATCTATGTTATATATGCATTAAAAACATTCAGGAAAAAGTCTTTTAGGTAAATTCGGACCACGAGTCCACATATATGGACATAATTTTTCTCTTAACATACATCATATCAAAAGCTGATACTTAGATTTTTAATCTAATTAGGTTTCAATAAGCCCAAATAGCAAAGAGAAATAAAAATGCATGTAAAAAACACCTTGGGCCTTAAGAGGATACATAAACAGAATAATTTTTATTATAAACAAAATAATTACTAAGTCAAGTTCATTATATTGTTTGTAAATTTGTTTAATTATTTACTAAATTATCTTTCAAATATTATATTATATTATATTATATTATATTATATTATATTATATTATATTATATTATATTATATTATATTTATATTATATTATATTTGCTATTATATTTGCTTTTATATTTGATATTATATTAACAAGTGATTTTATTACTTGTTAATTATTATTATGATTATTATTATTATTACTATGATTAATGAATGCTTTAAATCAGTTTAATTCACTAATTTGTTTGGTAGTAATTAGTGTTTTATTGGACAGATTGCTTTTGTTCACAGAACTAGTACATTTATAACTCACCTTCAGGCTCAATGTGAAGACCTACAATACGGCTTCAGTAACGGGTCACTGGGGTATAAATGGACAGGGGTTGCTTGTGTTCCTGTGTGCACCTGTGTCTTTCTGTAGTTTCAACCCAGAGCGTCTGTGCAGCAGATGAGACCTGGCAGAAGTGACCTAGGTGAAGCTGAGATATTCAGTATGGTGTGTTCACTCTATATAGAGCACGTCAGGTGGTTGAGGTGGTAGATTAAGGCACAGAAGGTGCTGTGATTAGTCGAGGAAGAGCGGAAGCACGATTTTCATGTCTCTCTCTTCCCTCTTTCCTCCTTTCATTTCTGTTTAGCTTTACCCAATCGCGGGGTGAGTTAGACAGAGCATAATAATCACATCTTGACTTCAAAAGAATTGATTTCTCTCTAATCCTGTCATTTTGAATGCACCTCCTCTTAGATGTCTCAGACTTACTCTTTTTGCCTCCCAGACAGTTCTCTGAAGTAATATTTTACCAGTTGAATACAGGTGAAAACATAAAGTGATCTCTAGCCCCTTGTGTATTGCACAATGTGTAAAACACAGACTGAATCACAGATTCACCTAAACAGAATAAGGTTAATATGGAATTTCATCGAATTTGTCAGATTTTGTATGAAAAAAATAATCAAAAGTAGTGTTGATCAAATCATGATAAAAGGCTAGTGTCTGTTAATAATAATCCACAAAAATTCTAGTGAATGAATGGGTATTATCACATACAGGATGCTTTCTGATGTTCCAGTTTATGAGAACATGAAAAAATACTGTAGCAATTGCAATACTAAGTGTATTTAGCTGAATATATTAGACTATTTACATCTCTTTGTCAATGAATGCTACAACATTCAGTAGTATTAACTATTAAACTAACATACTGTAATACATATTGTTGTATACTTTAATTTCTACGGTAGACTGTGGTGTATTGTAGTATAATATACCCTATACTGTAAAAAATTATATGATCGATTAGTCATGAATCATGATACATGTATTTTGTTCATTGTAACCAATTAAACTAGGTTAATCATGTTCTAAATTAATTTACCCATTTATAAGTATAATTTACAAGTTCAATAGACTCAAAAGATTTATTTAGGCAACCAGGATTTTTTTTACAGTGTACTTGTTAAAAAACACAGTTTTGGGTCAACTGTTTATGCTACGATAGTTGTTTTTTTTTTTATAGCAACTATAGAATTACCACAACAGATTTATTCAAGTAAGATTCAAAGACACTGTAGTATTTGCTATAAATTGCTATAGTATTTGTTCATGTGGGGAACACAAGAACTTGATCCCGCTGCTATGAAAGTCATTTTACTTTACATTTTTGTAATTTACATTACAAGTATTTTACTGTGCATAATGTATATGTATATTTTAATGTAATAAATTATAATGTAATAATAATAATAATACTTTATTTTTAAGGAGATTACTTGAACTATAAATGTATTCTACTCTTTTTAAATTAAACAGTAAAATGCAATTTCAAGGAACAAGTAAAACCTATCTTGTCGAGCTCCAAAAATGTAATCGCCGTAACCTTTGAGCAAGTTGATTTTAAACTGAATAGATTGATTTATTTATTTGGACTTGCTTTTTGATTACTGATATTAATCAAGTAAATGGAACTTAGAAAAATTAAAAACATAATGAATTAATTTGGAAAAAATAAAAAAGGAAAAATAATACAGATAAATACAATAGATCTTTTTTTTACGTCCTTTGAAATTGACTAAAATGTCACTGGAACAAGCCTTAGGACATTTAGCAAACTAATCAAGAGTTGTTGAAAAGGTGGTTCAATAAGCAATGTCACAACAAAGGTTATTTATATGTATCTTAAGGCTTTTTTGTATTGAGGGTTAACACTTAAGGGTGTTTTGTATTTGATGCAGGATTGCATTTTGGTGAGATGT